CACATGATGATGATGATGATGATGATGATGATGATGATGATGATGATGATGATGATGATGATGATGATGATGATGATGATGATGATGATGATGATGATGAAGAGGAGGAGGAGGACAGGCGGTGGGACTTTTGGGAAAATGAATAAAAGAATTACAGTGAGAAAGGAGAGAACAAGGAGCAAGACAATGCAATGGACGTGCATGACAACATTAATTATCTCAACAAAAATCCCATGTGTTTGTCATACTCCATTACTAAAAGAAGATATAAAACCCTAAAAATGCCTGTCCAACTCAGATGTTGACCACTAAGCCCTCTTGACCCACTCCATCACGTAAATGAGGCGTTTTGGGGCTTTCGCCCTCGAGGGAAATGAATCCAATGAATATGAAGAGCTACAAGATTCACGTTTCCACAATTAAATTTGGCAATGTTAACGAAAGAGAGTGGGCATCGCTTGCAGGCGGGAATAACATACAATTATTACGAATATGTGTCTTATTTCCAGTAATCTGATATGTTGTTTGTAATCTACACGATGAGTGGGCCCAACATCGTTTACATCAGAGGAACTAAACATATTTGTTACAGACGACATAAAGGATATCAAAACGAACTTTAAGGTGGAATCTGAGCTGGGAGATGGAAGGAGGGGTTGTTATGGACATGTACCGTCTGCGGTGATCCAAACCTTGTAGACGAACAGACAAATTAGACAGAAGCAAGATGGAAACGCTCAGAATTATTTTGTACGGTGGCGTCTTTACCCCACAATATTTCCTCATTCAAAATAAAAGTGTAGTATTCATGTATAATACAGTAATGCTAAAATGTCACAAATCACCTTGTGAAATTATGTCAGTTAAACGGTTTCTGTTTCGAAAATATAACTTTTCTGTATGGCCAGTTTCCAACATTCAGGTTTCCCGTCTTGTTATATAATTTAAGCTTTTCTTCTGCTATGATTCATCACTGGTGTAGTGTTGTAGGTTGGCAGCTGGAGATATCAGACGGAAGTACGACGTTCGAAGCTGAGCGAAGTCCAAATTACCGGTGTCTGTGGTGTAAAAGTTAGGCGCTTCGACGTCGCACGTAGAAAATCTATTTGATTCCCGTGAGGGGCTTATTTCTTATAGAATATTTCGGTCTTTCTGCTGGCGCACTGTGCCCCTTTCAGTCCGTTTGCCCAAAACTGGCAGGACCGAGAACCACTTCCTACCTTACTTAAATTGTTTCAATGGGGGCGTAAAAACTTGCAAAGAAAGAAATCCTAATCGTCTTCCTCTCCTTTTCCTGACAATTCCTCACAGTCTTGTGACCGAGTTCGGCCTTCCAAACGATATACGCTGTGTCTAGAAGAGAGCTTTATTACAACGACACAAATAATCAATAGGTTTACGATCAGGCGAAACTGTCGAGTTCCACTATTTTGTTTTCGGGATGTAAACAACGAAAGAAAAGGATTGGCAAGAAATTCTGAGAAGCTGTAAAGATGTGCAGAATGATAAACGACGACTTTTCGAAATAACATTCCTTCTCAACTGCTGCAGACGGCCAGTCTGTCTCGCTATTTCTGTCTGTTTGTGTCGCAGACGTGAGTGAAGCTACCGAATTCATTTATTTGTATATGCTCATCTTCTTTTTCTATTCCCTCCCCTTTCCCCTCTTTTTTCCTTCTCCACATTCTTCGGGATAATATGTCTTATCTATGTTGAATATAGGCCGTTGTTAGCCGGAGTCAGCATGATATGGTGGGTCTGACGCTCACCCTGCAATCTAGAGATCTAGTTTTCGAAAACTTATTAAAGCTCCACCTAATGTTTTTCTCGTCGCTTTTAAGGCTCTGATTCTGTCTCGGTCTAGCCTAGGCAAAAAAAAGCGTGAGTGCCGTCTGTTGTTAGCCTCTATGAACAATTTTCCGAGTCGAGTTGGGATACTGTTCCTATTATCTCAACCTCCGACTTTTTTACTTTTCTGTTTCCTTCAATTCTTATGTTTGATTTGTGCTCGCTTTTTTCGTACAGTGAGTAAGTTGTAATACCTTCCTATACCAAATATTCCTCTCCATATCCTGCATAACACTGTTTTCTAATTTTGTTCTATTCAGCCTAGGTTCCTGCAAAAGTCTTCGAAGAGATTTTGAAGCGAGGGGTCAAAGGCCACTTTTGAGGCTTGTATATTGTTATAAGAACTTAATTACAGTTCCGGAAACATTGAGCTTTTTGAATGAAAATCTCATGCCCCATGCGAACGTCTCCAGGAGTATGCTCAGTTGTGTTTAGATAGACAGTTTATGATAAACTGTATTGAAAATACGAGTGCAACAGATAATTAAAAATGCAAATGGCCTTCCTTTTATCGTACCTACACAGCCTCCTCCCTCGTCATATAAATGGTGAGTAAACAGAATAATATTATTGTCCTGTAGCCTTTTTACGATGAAACGATCGCTGCAAACAATCGTCAAGAATTTCTCTCCACAACTACGTCAGGTACAAGCAAATCGTACACACCTTGAAGAAAATGTGATTTGATGAAAATGTGATTTGATGCAGTGACTTGCACTTTAGAATCAAACAATCATCCTCTGGAACGTAATCGAAATCTGTTTAAGGTCTAGTTAGTTTTGTAAAAGTTTTGAAGAATGAGACAACGGTCTTAAATCCGAATCTTATTCGCCTCAAATGGAGATGGCCATTTCTGCGTTAGGGTCGTAATGATCACATGCATTACACGCATCCATAATTCGGGGGCAGTTAACTTTGGAACTTTGGAGATCCACAAAGGATTAGAATACAACATTATCTCAATTCGCGACGGGAGTAGAACTCACACATGCACGCACGCACGCACGCACAAACACACACACACACACACATACACACACACACACTAACACACACACGCACCCACACATACACACACACGCACACACACATACACACACACATACACATACACACAGACACGCACACTCTCTGCCTCTCTCTTCTCTCAGTCCCC